GCTAGCTTCGATACTTGTTGGGATAGCTGGAGCTGTTTTAAACACTCCTAGTACCTTTCTACAAGCTGCGTTATGTAGTGGTTGAAGCTGATCTTTTATATTACTTGCTCCTTAAGAATATTAGCTTCCAACATATAATGCTGCTTTTTAGCCGTAATATTGATTGTTTCGTCACCGCCGTCAATTAACTCTTTGGCAACATCTCCTTGTTCATTAGCGACTTTGAGGGCCACTTGAGTGCTCGGGGGATTGTGTAGAGAGCGTAAGAATTATTCTGTGATATCATGATAGCTGCTGAGAGATGAGTTCATGGTTTCAAGGTGCCATGATGTTCCATTCTTTCCCTTCAACAACACTGCCGCACGTACGTTATATATATGTATGTGTATGTGTACAGACGATAGCCCCACCAGCCTCGAGAGATTTCTTGTTTTCTCTCAGGTGCTTTTTGTCGAACCAGTTTCGACATTGTTTCCATAGGCAAATGCTCCCTCACGGTAGGACTCGGGCCGAACTACCCATGGTCGTCCTTTTTCGAAAGATGGTTGCGGCCGCGCACTTAGCAAAGCTGGTACCAACTCTTCCAAGAAGTCAGTCCCCCGAAAAGAGGCACAATCATGGGGGCTGAGCCAGACAGAATGTGCAATGTATACATATAAGTCAACCATGAGGCGGCGTACTGGCGAGCCCTTTGGAGTTCCGTCATAAATAAGTTTGACCAAAGGTCTTGAGCAAAGGTATCTATGATTGGTTTGAGCCCCCTCAATCATCATGGCTAAGACCGCGTTCTTGAGCGTTTGGTCCAGCAATTTCTCACCAAGGACAAAGAGCTGACATAGGAGTCTGGTGGTGTACAGGATATCATCATGGCAAGGAATTGTGTGCGAGTAAAGCCATCGGCAGTATGCTTCAACGGCTTTGGCATCTTCTTCGGTCAGGTCGATCGGGCGGTTCTCATCGGTACGCCATTCCGGCTTCATGGCAATCTTGAGAAAGTCCGAGGTAGAGGTCAGGACCTCTTTATGCACATGGATTTGCTCGCCTTTAAACAATACAGGAACGGTTTCGCCCATGATGCTGCAAGCCTTAGCATACATCCGTTTGATCAATGTTCCCTGCCCATAAATCACTTACGATGGTGATTCTTTGCGGAACTTCATATCGGCCATGGTTCGTGCGCGCTTTGCCTTCGGCCTCTCTGGTGTTTCAGACATTTTAACTGAAAATGTTACAGTGTAGTGTCAGCACCGAATGACGATCGATTGATTGCTGTAAAAGCTCAACGATACATACAGTCGTGAGAAACGGTGCGACCTTTTTCGGCAAGATCTTCTAAAATTCCAGCAAAAAGGTGCTCGAGCATAAGTCGACTTAAGGAGCAGTTCGTTTCCCGGTCTAAACATGTTGTTAGTGAAGTGCTAGCGGAATACGGATGTGGAAGTGAAGACCAGTCGTTATAGCTCGGCGAGAGGTGAAGGTAATACCCAGATGAAAGCCTGCGAAGATATTCCAGCAAAAGGTGAGGTGAGGTAGCTCAGATTCACAAGAAGCGTTGGAACAAGGTGGACGGTTACGTCACAGTCAACAGTCAACGGAGGAAAGAGCGATCGTAAACAAACATTCAACTACGAACTTGGGAACGAGAGAACTTTACGGAAATGCACGCAAAGAAGTGATCGTTTGAAGAAGCATGACAAATGCCTCTGAATACCATCGCGCAGTGTTTACAGCAATTGAAAATGCAATGGTTCTTGATAAATCAGTTTCGCCTATTGGAACCACTGTTGAAAGTTGAACAGCAACACAACATGAGAAATTTATATGTGATTCACAATCTATACCCTTCTAGCAGTGATAACAATGCCAAATACAACCCTTTGGGATTTGATGGTAGTGGACACTTAGTTTGCCTCACCAAAGTCACTATGTCCGGTCTCTGTCGCGTGCTGGATCGCTCCCCGTTCTCCAGCTCCCTTCCAGCCACACGTGTTACATTTGATGTCGAATTTCTGGGTATCTGTATAGTAATGCTGTTTTTGCAGCTGGCGACAGAGTTCCCGTGCAGCCTCGAGGATGACATCATCATTGGGATCAAAAAGCTTGATGTCTTGAGAAGGATCTTGAGGCGAAACTCCACGCGGAACCAGAGCGATAGTGTCGTAATGAATACCGGAATATACAAGGATACAGCGGCGTGGTCGACCTTCATTGAAGCGGTCTACACGGTTGTCCTGCACGTTGACACTGGCAATCTCGATATCAAATTCTTGAGAGAGAATACTGAGCTCAATTCCACCACCCCATGAGTCCGAGTATGATATCCATTTGCAGTACTCGTCGGGAGACCGCTGCAAGATTGCTTCGTTGTACTGTTCGGGGTCTCTTTGTATAGCTTGGGCGACCATCGACCGAAGTTCGGTCATGGCATCCAGTGAGTCGGAGAGAACGGCGCTTCCAAGAGCTCGGAACATGCATGAGTTATCATCCGGCATCACTCTCAGGACAATGGTGCCAGCACGTTCGGGCACAGGGACTTCGGGAGTGTCTTTGAGCGCGGAGTTCTGCTTGCGTTGTAACGACAGGGGTGCTGACTGAGATGTAGCAGACTGGGCTTCTTGTTCTGCTTTCCGTTCACTTGGATCGCCAGTAGCTTTGCCAATGACGATGATGGAGGCGCCATTAAGTTTAAGGTCAATGTCCTTCAATAGCGTAGACATTCCGTATAGTGAAGGATCGAGCGGCTGGGGTGGGTGGTTCCATTTCAATTCGAAGAGTGGGAGTTCCGTCTTTTCGCTGATAGATGATAGAAGGTCGGAGACGGCGGCATTATCGTCGAGGGAGAGGGTATGGGTGCCGTTGGGCGCTCGTAATCGGAGGCGAATGGGCATGGCGGTAGAGCTTGGTACTGACAATTGCGGGACAGAAATGCGCAAGACTATATGCTGGGTGGCGACAGCTGTTACAAGTATAAGAGACCGAATGGCGTGGAGTGGTGGAAGTAGTGGGGCGCTTTGGTGGGACGCAGCGGTGCAGTTGTCACAGGTAGCAAGTTGCGATGGGCGAGTAGGAGGCAGGTGGAAAAGAAATATCTTCACGCAGGAGCAGGCACTGTGGATGTTATTGTAGGGAGAGCATATGTAGTTTGTCAGCTACGGCATTACTCGCAAGAAGCGACAGTTGGCGCGAACAAGTGGCACGGCGCAAGTGAATGTTCGGAAACCCTGGAGTTGGCCGAGGCGGAGATGTGCGACAGGCATGCTCGGATAATCGTAATGCCGCTGCCGCTCCGCTCCAGTCGCGACGTTGTATCCACGACGCGACAACGCCAACACCAAAGGGAGACGACGGCGCAACACCACAACACCAGGTGATCCATCGCAGCAATGGCGTCCGCACGCGCGCCGAGTTCAACGCCGGTGCCCACAACCGAGACGGCCGAATCCTCTGGGGCAACTTCCACGGTGACGGAGCAAGAATGGGAGGCCATGGCCAACTTGCTGAAGAACGTCTACGACTACAGGATTGACGAGTGAGTGATTGATCTTGGCAAGATCATGTGCCAGTACTGATATATCTCCAGTGGCACCTATGACCCCACAAAACTCTTCCAGCGCAAAGTGAACAAGCGCGCCGTGCCCGACTACTACGACATCATCAAAGAGCCCATGGCCCTCAGCACTATCAAATCCAAGATCGGACAAAAGGAATACAAGAACTTTTCCGAGTTCGTCCGCGACCTGGCTCTCATACCTCACAATGCGCAAGTGTACAACAGACAGGACTCGCAGGCCTATGTCGATGCGCTTGAAGTAAAGAAGGTCATTGAGCGCGAGCTTAAGCGCCTTGTTGACGATAAGATTGTATCTGAGGATATTGCGACTCTACCTTTTCTAGGCGAGATTCCGGAACAGGATCCGCTACTGCCAGAAGACGAAGAGGAGGAAGAGGAGGAAGATGACGAGGAAGAACTCGAAGTTGACGAAGAAGATGATGACGAGGACGAAGAGGACGATGGGAAGCGCAAAAGGAGAAGGCCTGCGCGGTCCACAGCAGCTAACGCCAAGCGCGAAGGAGGCTCAAGAGCGGCAAAGGAGGACGCCAAAAACGACGATCCAGAGTCCCGGAAAAAACGCGGACGTCCGCCGCGGGTTGACACGCCTATGGAGGCACGAATCAAAGCTATCATGAAGGCCATCCGGAAGCCTCGTAATCAGCAGAACAAGCTTATGGTCAGCGCATTCGAGCGTGTCCCTGACAAGACGGTTATGCCCGAATACCACTCTGAAATCAAGAACCCTATGGCCATGGACATTTTGAAGCGCAAGCTGAAGCGGAAGAAGTACAACTCGGTAGATCACTTCATGGTAGATGTGGAGCTTATGTTTGAGAATGCGAAGCAATATAACGAGGAGGATAGCCAGATTTACAAAGACGCTGTGCACCTTCAAAAGGAAGCGCGCAAGGTCGCAAAAGCTGAGAAAGAGAAGCCAGACACCGAGTATGTCATGGAAGAAGGACGCATACCTATGCCTAGTGGCATCGTTCATAACGGAGAGTTATGGAAGGTTGGCGATTGGGTCCACATCCAGAACGCGAACGACCTCACAAAACCCATCGTCGCTCAGATTTATCGTACATGGCAAGACGCTAGTGGTGGTCAGTGGGTGAATGCCTGCTGGTACTACCGTCCAGAGCAGACCGTGCATCGTTTCGATAAGCACTTTTTCGAGAACGAAGTTGTCAAGACTGGCCAGTATCGAGATCACCGTATTGATGAGGTTGTAGATCGCTGCTTCGTCATGTTCACAACGAGATACAACAAGGGCCGCCCGCGCGACTTCCCCTCAGACAAAGAGATTTACGTCTGCGAAGCCAGGTACAACGAGGAAAATCACAAGCTCAATAAGATCAAGACCTGGGCTAGCTGTCTCCCTGATGAAGTACGAGACAAGGACTACGTTATGGATTTGTTCGACGCGCCGCGAAAGTTGAAAAAGGTGCCTAGTCCGATTGCCTACCTTCTCAAAGATGATCAAAAAGAGGACGACGATCTCCCAAAGCCAGAGTGGGGTGCTGAGAATGCGCCTCCGAAGATTGGCGCTGTTCATCGTCGTCCACGCGACCCAAAGGTAAGTGACCGGAACTTCATACTACTACACACTGTCACTCACAATAATTCCAGGACTCGCCACCTCCCAGACCCACTCCACCACCGTCTCCAACACCACCGCCTGCGCCCGTGATGCCGACGCCAAGCTTGCCCACTCCTTCGGCGCATGGCTTCGAAGCATCAAGAAACTATCCTATAGCTCAGCCACCTGCCCTCACCCCAATGCCTGCACCAACACCACAGCAACATCATGTGCCTCCCGCATACACTCCGACTCATGCGACACATTATCATGCTCACTCTCAGTCACCCGCACCGCACATGCACCATCAGGCACCTCAGGTACCTGCTTACCAGCCAATAACGCCGCATGTTCCCTTCACACCTCAGCCTACAGCACCTATGCAGTCCTTCCAGACGCCGCGGCCTACTCCGGGCTATCAACAACCGTACCTCCAGCAGATGCCTCCCAACTACAAAGCACCGCAACCTGTTGAAGTCTATGTCATGGCCGATCACGCGAACAATAGTATACCGCCTGAAATCCGTGAGCAGTTCCAATGTGACGAGAAGGGTCGCGTGCTCTTCTTCACCGCTCCTCCGCTCAATATTGAGCAGCCATTTACCAAGGACGGACGCGCACTAGGACACTCAGCTCGCTACCTAGCAGCTAAGGCGAAGAAAGAAGCTATGAAGGCTGCGAAGCGCAAGGCAGGGGAAGCCAGTATTGACGAAACCAAGGAAGCGGCCAAGAGAGCGAAGGCGGCTGAAGAAGAACAATTCAAGAAGGCCGTCTCTGATCTTAATACCAAGGTACTAAAGGCGCTAGAGGATCAACTCGCAGTAGCTACAAAGTCAGATCTTGCGACTTTATTCAATGGCCAGACTGAGGAAGGCATCGCAAAGGTTCTGGACCAGCTTACTCTCGTCCAAAATGCGACGGTGCAGAAGGAGCTGGAGCGCGAGCTGCATGCCTTGGAGAAGGAAGAGAACAGACGTGTGACAGTGACGGGTATGACTGCCAGGTTGGAGGAGAAGTACTAAAGGAACTATTGTACGATTTGCTGTGTTTCTGATATCCACTGTATGCTTGAATGGAGAACGCGGCGTTTTTTATGTGCTGGACTCGAAGATTGTTCTGGGATACGGGGTATTATTCTTCCATCGGTACAGTCGACTCTTAGTTGAGATATCTGGGGATACTCTATGATAGGTCTATTAGAACAGGCTCTCTTTCCCCCGACTTTGCTCTCTGATATTCTTCCCACGTCTCGCGACGCAAAGCCACTTCGTTTCCGTGTTCCCTCGCCTTTTGCAATATAAACTCGGCGTCCGGCCACGGTACTTGCTCTTCTACCAAGGCCGGGTCGGCTCCATTTTCGAGAAGAAATCTGACACCTGGCAAGGGCTTATCACTGGTACCTCGGTATCCCGTCCTTGCGGCACGACAAAGAGCAGTAACGGGCTTCCCGTCCAGCGGCACGCCATCGACCCGCGCGCCATACTGGAGCAGCACACGCGCGAGGTCATAGCGCTGATAATACACGGCCCACCTCAGTGGAGTTTTTCCGCCGCAGAAATTCGGATCAATGTACTCTTTCTCGATCAAGAACCGTAGAACAGACGGCGTGCCAAAACTGTAGATATACCGCATCTCACTCTTAGTCAGACACCCGCCGTACTTTTGCCGTTGGTCCAGGATCTCGCGTACAAAGCCCCTATCTGGGTATTTTATCGCTTCCTCGAGTAATCGCTGCGTGCCAAACCGTCTGCACGTTCTTACATTCGGTCCGGCGTGGAAGCGGTCCAGAAAGATTTTGCCCGTCTCCCACTGACCCATTCGCATCGAGATGCACAGCGCGACCCAGTCGCTCAGTTGCGGGATCTGCTGCGAAATGCATCGCCGGCTAGTCTCGCCGTAGGCTTCTTTCGAAGTCTGGTCGGACTCGAGTTGCAAGATTTGGCGGACCAGGTCGACGTTGCCGCATGCACATGCTGTTTCGAGGGGGCTAGGGAGCACAGACCTGCCTATGCGGAGGATAGCGGGCTTATCGCGAGCTTGCTCCATGAGGCGTGCGTTTTGCTTTGTTGCGGCGAGGGTGGAGGGGAGGGTGAAAGTTACGGATGGCCACATTTTGGTCATGGGAGAGTTTGAGAAGAGCAAGTAGCGGAGTCCTTTGGCGTTTCTGCTCGATACAGCGTGACAGATTTCCATGGTGTATTTTTTGCGCAGGTCATCAGTCACGGGGCTTTCCTCAAGGTTCAGAACGGCATCCACCAAGTCTCTCAGGTACTTGATGCCTGGGAGCGAATCATCTTGCTGTCTGCGGAGGACCTCGTTTCCGATTATGGTGTTGCCATGTTGCGCGAAGAGTTTGTCAAAGCGTGCATTGTCAATAGCGATGGTAATGTGACGGTCTGCCGGGTCCCTCAGCTTGCGTCTATCTTCGGAATACGCAATGAGTGGCTGGCGCTTGAGGATTTGTTCCTGGATTTCATGTGCGAATAGCCCTATGCAAGTCAGCGGGTCATGGACTTATAGTGGTTTAAGAAAGGTGTTAGTACGGCAAACAAGGCGGTATTGCGAAGCAAAAAGTGGGCTGACATCGCTAACAAGATACTCGAAGATGCGCTCCACAAGTTCACAGGGGAGTTCGATGATTTTCATGCTGGATTGGTGTGTTCATGCAGGATGGTGTATATGTGTTTTGCATAGTAGTTGGCCAAGACAGCCCAATGGCGGGGCACATGACTTGGTCCCTTCCCAGCCTCTCCAAATGACTGATCATGACTGATCATTGCAAAGCGATGAGGCCCGAATACTCATCATCTAAGAAATTGCCTTCCCGAATTCGACATTGTGCTTATTTAGGGGTACGTCGTGACATATCTAGCTGCACAGAAAACACATCAAGTAGTTTATGTTGCACGAACACATAACGTTTGGTTTACATTGAGAAACCCTATGTACTGCTACAATACGTTTTATCGATGCCAAGGGAGCCATAGGCTGCATGCATGCTTCTTGGGGAGCCAAAATAGCCGGATAAAAAGTGCCCATACCACAACAGTGCAACTCCTTAATAACACTAACACCACGCACTGCTTAGCTATAAAAACTGCGGAAAGGAATCATCTTGTGAGAATCAACACGTTTACCCATTTCGGAGATTGATAAAAGCTGCTTGTCGAGACCTTTTTCGTAATTTGAGATGATGTTGGACATGGTTTGATCCGGCTACTTACTTCCTGAAGAGCCATGTCAGGCTAGCGTCTCCTACACGTGAAGACCACGGGTACTTGCAACCACGAGGCAGTTGCAGATGGGCATAAGTGTAGTACTTTCGGTCTTTATACAGATAAGTTATACAGAGAGTGTCAAGAATTTATATAGGGTGAAATTGATTTCGACATCTAATCGTGATTGGTCCGTGCAAATATGACTAGTAGAAAAGGGTCACTTCTCTTGCCCTGCATGTGTCTTTGTTCCGAGTTTCACGATGTATGATGCAAAGTTTAATAATGAAGCGGAAGAGCCAGAAGGTCTAAAGAATCTTCTAGAGGGCGGTGAGACAGTCGCTTGTGGTAGAAGCTGAAAGTAAGGTTTCTCAATGATATCATCGTCCGGTTTCGCGGGCTGTGTGAAACTCAATATCATAAGTCACTGCTTCTAGTGCGGCCTTGGTATGAGTGTTGAGCGACAGCACTGAAAATACTTCAGATTATACGAGCAAATTGCCTACTACTCGCTTGTGGAAGCCACTACCGCAAAGTTAGTCTACGTACTAACCAGTAGAAAAACGGCTGGCGTACTAGATGATACAGCCACAGAACTTTAGTGATTAGCGCGTGCGCTAGAGGCAGACAGCCTTACGACGTTCAAACATAGAAAATAAGCTTTCGTCTAATAAATCTCCGCAGCTTAATATTAGCTTGACAGCAACAGCTTCTGAGGCACCTGACGATGCACTTAGGGTCGGGCCGTCTGAGCTCAGCGAACTGCGGATAGAACGGGATCTGCCTATTCAACACTTCACATCATACAGAGATTGCCTCAGAGGCAGTCATCCAAACAACTGCTATGATATTGAGAATTCCGCTCGTAACTGACTTTGTGCATCTCAAAGCTTTATCCATCATCGCTGAATCTGGCATGAGAAATCTGTAAATGGCAGTAGCGGTGTAGCTACGCCATCTGTCTTTTTACGTACTGTGAATGCAACTAACACAGCCTTAAACTCAAAATCGCAGGGCCGAGATTGTGTCCTGCAAGTTTCAATTAGATCTGGTTGAGTCGTCGTAACCTAGGGATGGTGCAGCCTTGCTAAAATTAAACAGCTTGTGTGCCTGACATGTTTCTTTCTTAATGAACGAATGAAAGATAATAGGCAATGGGACATAACGCAAGTGGAATCGATCCGCGTCTTCGATCTTTGATATTTAGGATTTGAACTACAGCGTCAGTACACAACCTTAGGCCGCTAAGGAAATGAGACAGTTTAGCTTTGCCTTGATATTGCAGAAGGCTAATATGTAAAGTTTTGACGTTTGAGTGCACTAGGTAGACAAAGTGTCAGTGTCATGATATCACAGTATCAACGCTATGACTAGGTGCTCCAATGTCAAGGGGAAATTACAGCAGCCCTATGGAGGCGGTGAATCAGTCCTAGAAGCTCGAGCTTCAAATCAGATAATGGATATGATAGAGACAGAAAAAAGTATTTAAATAGATGAAAAACCGCTCTTTTAGAAGAATCTCACACAGCATCTCACAGTCACTCATTCAGACACTCAACAACCTTCCACTCTTTCCACCACAATCATTTCAACAACAGACCCAGTCTAACCTTCAATCCTTCAAGATGGTTCAAATCGCCTCCCTCTTCACCCTCCTCGCCGTGGGCTCCTCCGTCTTCGCTACCCCAATGGTCAACATCGACACCATGTCCGTCGAGCAAGGCCTGGCCCTCCGGTGCGTCCACCTCCCTCCTTCCATCCTCACTCCTACTAACACCCCACCCCAGCGCCACCAACGACCTTCCCAACGTCGCTCGCTCGCCCGCTGGCGGCGCAGCCGCCGCCGCCATCGCCCCCGTCGTCATCGACATCGCCACCCGCGTGGTCAAAATGATCGACAGCATCAGGGACGACATCGAGGTAAGCCCCCCCCTTCACACAGCATAAAAAACATATCTAACAACCAACCCCGCTTTCCAGCGCCGCAAGCAATTCACCCAACGCATCGTCGCTGACGTCCACGCCCGCTACCCCGGCTTCAACGTCGTCGTCTGCAACGTCGGCTACAAGCTCGAGGGCCCCGGCTACCAGAACGTGGTCTCGACTAAGTACCATGCGGCGGTTGGCACGGATGTTACCTTTGATGTTGTGTTGTTTAGCTCACCCAAGACGTTTACTCGTCAGGGTGATGGTGGATTCCAGAACGTAAGTGCAGATTGATTCAGAGGATCGGAGGGACTTGGCTAACTTGTGGAAAATAGTGGGCTTATCTTGTTGGCAAGCAGTGCCACACTAATGGTGGATTCATTGACTGCCCCAAGCGCGGTTAGGGGAGGAGAGTGTGAGGGGGATCAGCGGGCTTTGATGCATATAGATTTACGAGTATAGAGTTTAGAGATCTGGTGCTCGATGGAGTTTCTCAGATGCGATGAGCTGGTCCTCGGCCTTTTAGATAGTTAGACTACTTGTTTTTCTTTGCTAGAGTAGAGTGGGAGTGGTGTGCTTCGGGATAATTATCTTCTCAATACATGCTTTTATTATCGTTTTTAAATAAGCATAGTTATATGATTTTCTCTCTCACCAATATCCATGTGATGATGATTGCTTCGCCGCAAACATTCAGATATAACCCAATAAGTAATCGTAAAGACAGTATCTCTCGACTACTATCAACCTGCGCTTCGGCAGTGGCATTGTGAAGATCATATTCCAGCTGTTTTTGCAGTTCCACCACAAACCCCCACATCAATTGTTAAAACCAGACCGAAAACTTGGCGTCATTTGCCACATGTACGTCCATTGTATATACCACAAGCATTTCCTTGGATGATGAAAAACTGATTCTCGAAGAACCCAACGCGAGATTGTTTTTCATTTGACCATATTTCCACCGTGAGTTTGTCAAGTTGAACGCCGAACACGACAAATCCACTTTTGTTCATGTAACCATATAGGGTAAAGGGTATTCTGGGAACTAGTTGCACAGTCGTCTGTTCTTCGGAGAGAATATAATACCAATCATCACGGAGGTATTCACATCACCTTGGTCTCACGCACTATGACCATTACTCAAGGGATGAATGTGATGATTAAAGCAGATTATTATTCTCGAATGTGGTGATATCTCGCCGTTTCCCTGTAGAACAGGGGAGTGGTCATGCAGAGTAGTACAGATCAGGTGTTATTCTCAAGAAGAGAGTGCAGCCCAAAGTATCTCTTAGACTCCTAGTGCCTCCGATGTGACAAGTTGCTATCCACGGACTCAAAAAGCCAGACCCTGCCATACTGTATCTAATCATCCAAACCTAACCACACTAGATGTAACTCTCCTTTCTCGTCTACATGTCTGTTCCGAAATGTCAAGTGTCGGATAGACTCAGCGCCTTGCTTCTTTGCTTTCTCAATGAGCATTGCACATCTGCCCCAACCATTGTTATAAGCGATTTTGTAAGCTTCATCGTATACAGATTTTGTGAGAGAGCTTTCCCCGCGAACGAGAAGAAACTGAACATCTTGATAATATCCGTGTTCGACAGCAAACATCAGTGTTGATTCGCCAGTCCCGTCTTTTGACTTTGCGTTGACGTCCGCACCGTTCTCAATCAAGACGCGAGTAAGATCATAACGCTTGTTCCTCAAAGCCAGCATGAGAGGTGTGATGTCTGTTCTGGTAGGGGAATAAGGGCTGTGCGTGTTGGGATCCACAATCTTGTGCTTGAGAAAGAACTGCAGAGTCTTCACACCACCATATATATAGAGATGATGATAATCGTCAGAATTGACGATCCAGTTCCTGACTGCACCCTCTATCGAGGTAATGAAGCATCCGTATCTGAGACAGAAAACCCTTGGAAGTAAGGCAAGGTAGGTATATTTTATACAATATTCGAGTAAATCATCCGCGAGATTGTTTGAAGTTGACAGCAAGAGCATCTTGTTACCGACTATATAGTCAAACAATACGTGCGCCGCCCTTGGTTTACGTAATCGAATAGCTAATCGTAATGAGCTAACAACTGCGAGAGCAACATCGCATACCTTGCCTTGACCCGGGGCACTGTCACCTCTCGCTTGTCTGAGAAGACATGTGATAATAGTAGACAGGGATCTGCTGCATCCAGAGATCGTTGCAGCATCGAGGGCATTTGGCAATGCTTTGTATGCAGGTTTAAGCAGGTGCGAGCCGGTATTAACGTGTTGAAGCAACGTATCGGAGTCGTTAAATGCTGCTGCGATGGCAGGCGTGATGGCTTGCATCTTTGGGATTAGTACCAATGCGGTTGAGTCCTTTTTGCCTTTCAGCCGTGACTCCAGAGAGACGGGCCACAATGCGATCAGCATGGTCCATATTCTGAAAGTGCACTGAAAGCGTGGTGACTCCTGGCTCTTTTTCGTTTTTATACCCTGCGACAAAGCAAAGTCTACGCATCTTCGAACAAAGTCGAAAACGATGTTATTTTTGTCCATGCGACGAATGGTCCGCTTGGTGAGGATAAGAGCACGCTGGGAATGAAGGATATTCTTGAGTTGTTGGCTCCCAAAAAGCTCGTCAAGAGGTACCATAGTAGCCTGCTCGTACGACTCTGCTGTTATGTATTGCTTGAAAGTTCCTAGACTTCTTAGCCTTATTGTCCTAACGTCTGGGAATCTTTTTATCAAACTTACTGCAAACCCCACGATACTTCACGGCATGCTTCAGCCCTTCTGAGCCCACTAAGAAACTAGTGATATCTTTGAATATCTCAGGCGGCAGTTCCAGCAAAGGCATCTTTGCGTTAGGGTTGTGGTGAATGGACTTGAGAGATAAAGCGACGGAGATGAAAGGTTAACTAGGAAGGAGTAATCCCACGTGACGCGATATATACAGTATCGTTTTAGCCCTGACGTCACCGAATTCACCTTCACTTCGCATTGACTATTCTAGCATGATAGGTGTTCGAATGAAAACAGCCATGGCGGAGAGACCTTAGCTCAGTCCTATCCAGAATATTGCCGTCACATCGCGTACCACTGAAACTTTACGGAAGCCGAGCACACTACCAGAGTCGATCCGAGCGTTCAGGACGCCCGTTGTAACACGTCAGTTTTTATTCTGGTACTTCGGCTATGCTTAAATGCGCTTGAATACGGGCGCGCACAATGTGTTCTGCAGCTCTCATCCTTTCACCACAGCAAACTCCAGCGGCGCGAATGTACTGAGTGTGTTTTTACCTTCACACTGGTTATTCATACCATGCTAGAGTTCAGATAGTTTGGCACAGCAAAAAAATGTAGCAATAGGTAAGCCTCGCAACAGTGCTGATTGTCATGCAGTCTGTAGGCGCTGAATGGTCCAATGCCAATTCGTGCAGGTATTGTGACGAATCAACACGCGCAACCTGTTCACAGCTGCAGCCACCAAACAGCCATGGAGCTGGCACACAGCCACGATCAGGCCAAGACTATCACGTTAACCCCAGGCTTTTCCAGCCTATCTTCTGCTGCCTAGACAAGCTTTCTGATTCGGAAGCCTGTCATATCGTGAACCGCCTCTTGCAGATGACCGCATCCATTCATCACCAATTTATCTCATTCAATGCGCCTTCTCAAACGTGACGGAAATGGCGCAATCATCATCGAAAGCTTCAGCAACGGGCTGGCACCTCCTTATGCGATATTGTCTCACACATGGGGCCAAGACAGCGACGAAGTAACTTTTGCAGATATCGTCAATGGAAACGGCGAGCGTAAGGCCGGTTACGAAAAGATCCGCTTCTGCGACTTACAAGCACAACATGATGGTCTACAGTACTTCTGGATCGATACGTGTTGCATCAACAAAGACGACAAGGCTGAACTTTCTCAAGCTATTCAGTCAATGTTTCGTTGGTACCAGAACGCAAAAGCATGCTTTGTCTATCTATCAGACGTACGAACAAAGAAAAGAAGATTTGAAGAAATAGTAGATGAGCCCGATTGGCAGGCTATGTTTAGATCTAGCCGCTGGTTCACGCGTGGCTGGACGCTCCAAGAGCTGATTGCGCCGTGCACGGTCAGGTTCTTCTCCGAGGAAGGGGACGAACTGGGTGACAGATCTTCACTACGATGCTTAATCAACAGGATAACCAGCATTCCCCTTGAAGTGCTAGATGGAAGTACATTGTCCCAATTCAAATGCGACGAACGGCAGCGATGGGCAAACGAGAGGAGCACAAAGCTTAAAGAGGATAAGGCATATGCCTTATCAGGTCTTTGCGGTGTACACATTGCGCCTGTATACGGGGAGGGTGAAGAAGAAGCGTTCAGACGGCTTCGCCGGGAGATTGAGAAGCTGGAAGCCTGCATTCGTCACTTGCGCGATAGTGATCCTCGTCACGACAAAAAGCGCATTGAAGAAACGAAGGGCGGTTTGCTGGTTAGCTCATATCACTGGATCCTAGATAATCGCACCTTTCAGAAATGGCAGCATGATCCCACTGGCTAACTGCTCTGGGTAAAGGGCGATCCTGGCAAAGGCAAAACAATGCTGCTATGCGGTATAATCGACGAGATACAGAAGAACATACGACACAACACGGTCGCGTACTTCTTCTGCCAAGCGACAGACTCGCGCATTAATAATGCCGTAGCGGTTTTGCGAGGACTGCTGTATATGCTTCTGGATCAGCAGCCACTCCTGGCGCGGCATGTCCAAAAGCAACACGAGCATGCAGGCAAACAGCTATTTGAGGATTCAGACGCATGGGTAGCACTAAGAGACATCTTCACAGACATCCTTCAGGATCCAAGCCTTGGCAGGACACGTCTTGTCGTCGATGCCTTAGACGAGTGCATTGTTGATCTACCAAAGCTGCTGGATTTTGTGGCTAAACAGTCATCGGCATCTCCGCACGTTAAGTGGGTCGTGTCTAGTCGCAACTGGCCTAATATTGAAGCACAGCTAGAGCAGGCAGGACACAAAATCAAGCTGAGTCTTGAGCTGAATTCAGAATCAATAGCCACGGCGGTTGGCGCCTTCATTGAGCAAAAGATGAACATTCTAGCTACTGAGAAGCAGTACACACCAGAAATGCAGCTAGAAGTGCTTCAACACTTGAACTCGAACGCCAATGATACCTTTTTGTGGGTGGCATTGGTTTGTCAGAATCTGGAGAAAACACCTAGAAGGCATATACGGAAAAGCCTCACCGAATTCCCACCTGGTCTGGACGCTCTGTATGAGAGGATGGTGAGCCAGATTGGTGCGTCAAAGGATGCAGAAACCTGTTTGCAAGTTCTAGCGTTGGCTGCAGTTTCATATCGACCTATAACCATCTCTGAGCTAGTCGCTCTAGCCGAACAAGTTGAGAAGAATGCTGAAGACGTAGATGAGATTGTCGCTCTCTGTGTATCTTTCCTCACGCTACGAGAAGGCATCGTTTACTTTGTCCATCAATCAGCTAAAGACTTTCTGCTCACCAAAGCAGCTTCGCAGATCTTCCCAGACGGAGCAGAGGCTGTCCATTGTTCGACCTTCTTGAGGTCCATGGAAGTCTTGTCTAGCACACTGCATAGGGACATTTATGATCTCAAAGAGCAAGGAATTGCTACCGAGGATATTACAATACCCGCTCAAGACCCTCTCGCCCCTGTACGCTACTCTTGCACTTACTGGGCCGACCATCTCTGCGACTCGAATCCTGACTGGTCAGCTAACAATGCAGAGAATCCAAAACTCTTAGCTACAATCGATGAGTTCTTTAAGAAGACATATCTATACTGGATCGAGGCGCTCAGTCTATATCAGAGCGTAGAACAAGGCATCGCAGCCGTTGCTAAAGTGCTTCAACTAGTGCAGGTATGGCTGATACTAACAGCTCATAGCCAGTATGCTAACAAGGCTAGAATGACCAAAGTCTGAGTGAACTTACTGCACTCATTAATGATGGATGGCGTTTCATCATGCATCACAAGAGTATGATCAAAAGATGGCCACTACAGATCTATACATCGGGGATACTGTTCAGTCCTATAATGAGCATCATCAAAAATATCTTCAAATCCCAAGCACAAGGGTGTAATATCCAACCAGATCTAGAACACGGCTGGGGGCCGTGTCTACAGACGCTCGAGGGGCATGGCAGTCGGACGGAATCAGTAGTCTTCTCGCCAGATGGAACAAGTCTGGCATTCGTGTCACACTATGAGGCCGCCCAGATCTGGGATGCGCGTAGTGGGCAGTGTCTGCAGATCCTCGAGGGACATAGCGAATGGGTCCGCTCAGTAGCCTTCTCGCCTGATGGAACGAGGCTGGCATCAGCGTCAGATGACAAGACCGTCAAGATCTGGGATGCGCATAGCGGGCAGTGTCTACAGACGCTCAAAGGGCATCGCGATCGGGTCAACTCAGTAGCATTCTCGCCCGATAGAACAAAGCTAGCATCGGCTTCAGACGACACGACAATCAAGATCTGGGACGCGAAAAATGGGGAGCGCCTACAGACGTTCGAGGAGCATGACAACTGGGTCAGCTCAGTAGCCTTCTCACCTGATGGGACGACGTTGGTGTCGGCGTCAAATGAAATCATTATCTGGGACACGCAAAATTGGCAGTGCCTAAAAACGCTCAAGAAGGGGTATAGTTTTATCAATTCGGTAGCCTTCTCGCTCGATGGAACCAGGCTGGCTTCGGCGTCAGATGTTGCCACAACTAAGATCTGGGACATGCAAAGTAGGTATCACTTACAAACGCTTGAGAGTCATAGTGGTCGAATCGACTCAGTAGCCTTCTCGCCCGATGGAACGAGACTGGTGTCGATGGGAAACGAGGTTAAAATCTGGGATGCGTATAGTGGGCGGTATCTACAGACGGTTGAGGGACCTAGCCGTTGGACCCAATCAGTCGCCTTTTCGCCCGATGGAGCACATATCCTTACCACTGAGGGCAAGTTTCACCTTGATGCCTCCATTAGTGGCACTACTAGCAATATCATCAATCTTGGCGATGTGCAGAATGTTGATAGAGATATTTGCGTGGACCGCTTCAACAACTGGATTTTACTAGAAGGAGAGAAGATTCTCTGGATTCCTCCAGAGTATCGCGGTTCGAGGTCCGCTGTCAAAAACAACAAGATTGCAATTGTCACGTATTCTCGTACAGTATGGATATGCACTATCGATGGCTCGGTTGGAACTTCTTAGAGAATATCGTTTCTCTTATTCTTCCTAGCCACATCCTATCTCTCCTTCTTTTCTTCATTCAAACTGATGTAGTTCTGCAAGGGAGACAGACATGTCCAGATATATATTCTCGGCACGCTCACTGAGAAAACTGGAGAAAATACCAGCTCAGACATGTCACTAGATATTCCCAGAAGCACTCAAACAACTTTGGAGTTGATATCCCTAATAAACAGGTACATAAGAGGAACTTCCAGAAGCATGCCGTATGCGCCACAGTCTCAGTTTAATCAGACAGCATGTTGGCTGCAAGACGCAATACTTTACATGAAATCTGTGCATACGACAGTACGCTACTACAAGCTACTATATATTAAGACGCGGTTAAACCAAAAGCCTACTTCCATAAGTCTCCAAGATCTTGCCGTCCGCGCGGAGAAACTGCCGCAACGCACATCTTCTTACTTTAATTTGACCCTTTACAGCCTGTTTAGCCATTCCCTCACTGCCGCTAAAAACATATTTTTCAGCATTAGAAGCTGATGTGCTAGGACAACGCGCTGGTCTAGGATAGATATATACCACGTACATCTGCTTATAAAATGCGCTAGAAAACGATTCAAACTTGCAGAAGAAAAAAAGGTATCACGGTAGACTAGGGTATTGCAGCATGCTTGTCTATAACAGTTATTCAACTGACTTCTAAAGGAATACTATGTCTCCATACAGACCCGATATCCATCTACCACACATGACCCTTACTCTGCTTAATCTCCTTAACATTAATATTCCTCCAAAGGAAAATTCCTACAGCAGCCAAAACCCAAAGCCCCGTCGCAATCGAGAGCAACCTTGTAAATGCATCTTCATACGCACGCTGAATCGCCATACGTGTGGGCGACCCCATCGGAAAAGAAAGCTGCGTCGTAATATCACTGTAAATCATGACGAGATTGGGAAGATCGTCTTCCGGTAGATACTGCATGAGGCGCGAAGGCAGAATATCCGTCCAGACAGATGCAGCAATGGTGTATCCGATTGCGCCGCCGATATTGCCGAAGATGCTGACAATGGCAAGCATGGAAGCGACGTTGTCGTGGGAGCCAGCGGAGAGGATTGCGATTTCGTCAGTGATGATGAGGAGGCCTTGGGAGATGGAGATGAAGAGGAAGCACATGACTATATACCCAATGTTTCCTGGAGCTAAGAAGTGAATCATTAGGCCCTGCCCGAGGATACTAAGGGGGAGCCCGACGACGATGGAAATGAGCTTGAAGTGGCCGGTGCGGTGGATTACGTAGCCGGCGGAGAGAGCGACGAGAACGTTTAGGACGGTGAAGGATTGGGTGACGTAGCTTGCGTTTTTGACGCTGAGGCCTTGGACGACTTGGAGGTAGGAGCCGAAGTAGCTGTTCCAGACGAAGTAGCTGGCGAAGAGGGAGGTGCAGAGGAGACAGGCGCCCAGGACGGTGCGGTCGCGGAGGAGGCGGTAGGGGAGGAAGCAGACAGGGGCGAAGAATCGCTCCCAGATGACGAAGAGGATCATGAGAACGATGCCGACGACGAGCATGCTGACAACTAGTGGTGATGACCAGCCTCGACCCTGGGTGGTGTACAGGTTGAAAGGTAGGAGGAACAAGCCGACACCGGCAGAGAGCAGAATGAGACCGACAGCGTCGAATTCGCGGCTGTAGTGCATGATGGACTGCAGCGTACTGCGACCACTGTTGCGCTCAGGAATAAGGCCCAGACGCTGTGCCTTGTGGTAGTTGCTGAGAAGCAGTCCATACAATGGCAGCACAACAGCCGGTACAAGAATGCAGAACATTCCAAAAGCCCAACGCCATCCCGGTCCCCCAAGAAATCCCTCAGCAACAGGTCCAGCAATCCATCCCGTGATCAGCGCCGTCGTGTTCATGAGAGCCTGCATCAGTCCCCGATTCTTCAACTTCGTCGTATCAGCAATGAAGACAGACATGATATACTGAATCCCATTATTGCCGACAGTATGAAAAATCATAGCAGCAGCATAAGCTTCGACGCCATTGCAAGCAGCCATCATAATCAACCCCATAGTTCCGAGGCCCAGGCAAAACAGGAGACCAGGTGGCCGACCAAAGACGTCGATGACTTTGGCAATAGTAAGGTTCGTAACGCCGCCGATAACACTGCTCAGGATACTGACAGTAGGCGTGAGCGAGTGAGCGAAAAAGGCTGAAGTGACATAAGGCAACAAAGCAAGTGCCGTGCCTCCCAGCAGCGTCTCGACAAAGTAAATTAGCCAGAGCATAATATACGCCACAACCAAACTCGTCTTCGTCCACGCCATCGTCGTAGCCTCGATAGCCTGCACCCCAGCCTGCGCATCAGAATCCAGACGCTCCTCCTGGCTCTCATCGTTAAAAGGCGAATTAGCCTCCTGTTGCTCCGAACTAACAACAGTCGACCTGCCATTCTTAGTTTCGTCCGCACACGCAGACATATTGGAGGACGGCGATAAAAGAGGCTCTTCCTCGATAGAAGCACGAGAGTGAGCAGAAGAAGAAGAAGGGGAATAAGAGGACTCCCCGGTGTAGAATGGGGATCGAGAGGTATACACCATGCTTTCAGACACCAACTCAGTTCGTCCGTTTTAATATAAGAAAAAGATAGATGGTCGGGGGTTTGAGCAAATAAGCGAAGGGGGGACGACGGGGGAGGGGCGCTTGAACATAGTTTGGTAGGATAGTGACAGTGGGAGGCGGGGGGCGAAAAGGGAATGGGGGGAGTACAGAGCCAAGAAGGTATGCAGGTGCAGATGCAAGTGGGTCCCGCGGTGTTGGTAGGAATTGAGCACATTTGCGAGTGTTGTGGCGTAGACAACCACCCCTGCCCGTGCGCATGTATGTGGTGAGCCGGCGCAGTTACGGCGGAAAACGTGCCTTACGTCTATCCTTGCGCCGTGCTGAGCCTATTGTGCATGAGATAAAGATTGGGTCGGTGATGTTGCTTACTGTCCGGGTTTCGTGGCGACCCTTACTGTACGCCTGACGGGGCGCCCGCCTACGGTAAGCTGGTGGTCAGCTTTGCCCTGGGTTTCACCTCTCCAAAGCTTGAGTGTCTTGTTATGAACGATTTATATTGCGATAATATATTTTGCATACAAAAATCACCCAAAGAGAAAAGAAGTGCATGATCCATAATCTGATGTACTGTACAATGGAGGGTGGAGTAAACCTATCCGAAATACAAGTTGAAAAGTATAGAAAATAAATATCAGCCTGTGTAATACTTCTGTTCGCCACTCTAAATCCAACACCTCTGCACTAGCAACTGGCCACGTCCACCAGATGTGCGTACTTTGTGAACTCCTCGTCGCGTGCAAGCATCTCCCGTTCCTCAGGGAAAGTACCCAACGCCAACTCCACTCCACCATCAGCCTTCAGTGGATATACTACCAGAAACCTAAATCGTCCGCTGCCTCGTTCAAGTTGAGGCCTCATTGTCTCTGGGGAGCCGCCATTGGCAAAGTAGCGACCACCAAAACTAATCTCACTCATCTGGAACAGCATCATGTTGGAAATCATGGCGTGCATGTGGTCGAGACCCATGTTAGCCGTAGAAAACCTGGAGTGATCTGGCAGTGATTGTAGCAGGGTGAAAGCATCGTGGACTAACGAAGGCGTCATACGCGCTGCGGAACTGCGCAACACCTGCGCAATGTGCAGAATACTCGTTTCCTGGTTGCAAAGTTTCTCTATGGGCATGATGGTACGATTGAGCGTAAGCAGACTGCCCATGTATGTCGACGGAAGCAGAGATGAAAAGTATGGTCGACCGTCAGTGGGCAACTCCAAGATCGAACACTCGTCGGCATCGAACTCCCGGCCGCTGTTCTTTGCAACAGAGTAGCGGGCCCTCAGCGCTGAGCGCCAGAAGAATGCTTGAACAATGTCGCTGATGGAGGGCACAGAACCGCTGAGTCCCGACTCTCTCGCGACATCTTCTTTCAACAATTGGACCTTCTCGGGAGGAATGAGAAACAAAGTCGTGTCCATCTTCCGCTCTGCAGCAGGCAGTGGCCATACTGAGTGCAGGGTATATTTGAGCAGCGACACTTCCGACTCAGTTTGTTGTGAAGAATGCTTTGCGAGAGCTTCATCCGATGGAACAAATGGTAAAAAGTTCCACACACTGGGGTCGATCTCCTCCACCGGTCGTGCATATCCCTCCAGTTCATGAAGAACTTCAGGAAGGTTGTGATTGAAGCTCTCTGCATCGAACCACTCGCAGGAGGCCGAGGCATCCCCTTGCAGGCTCTTACAGTTCTCAGCCCATGCTTTGACAGCAAGGACGGCTCCAACCCCGTCGAGGCAGCAATGGTTCAGATCGACAGCCAGAATGCATCCTCCTTTGACAAAGTTGGCTTGCGCAACAAGTATGTCTGCAGGTAGCTGTGGGAAGGTATCTTGCCTCAGCACCTGCTCATCCTTGAAGGCGGACGGTACGAATCCGCCATCCCGCAGAGTCTCAAAAGATGGAAGCTCGTCGCTCAGATCCTTGAATACTAGACGTTGACGTGCTGGAGAGCCAAAAGGTGGGATTGAAACGCAGAGATCACCTTTTGTGAAGCCAACTTCTTGTTCTGAGCATTCTATCATTTTCCCTCCAAGGGCAGGGATAAGTTCCAAAGTCTTGTCGAGTCCCGCTTGCAGATTAGAAAAGGTCTCCTCGAAAGTTGTATCCGCGCGAAGAGGGAAGTAGAACATGAGTCCCATGTAGTGGTTGGGATTGACGTAGTCGAAAGGGTTTAGTCTAAAAGACTGGTGTGCTTTACGCCGTGCGAGCAACTGTTGCATCCTTGTTTGCTGACTCTGCACCTGTCGCTTCGCAACGGTAGTGCCTTGTTCTTCCGCCATCATCGAATCAAGCGCAGCGTTGAACCTTGCTAGAGTTGGGTTTGCATAGAGATGGCGGGGAGCGAGTTTGCTCAAGCCCTTGGTCGCTGCTCGGATCGCATTGACAGCTGCTGACACTCCAAGCGAGTCGAGGCCAAGTGCAAACAAGTCATCATCGACAGAAGCATCGCGAACGGCGGGTTGAGACGACGCAAGAATCTCCCGAATAGAACGCTGCATGGCCGCTGTAGAACTGGTATCAACCACAAAGCTAGTCTCCTGTTCCCGAGAGCTATAGAACCTCTCAATGTAGTCTTCGTAGAGAATCAAGGTAGCTTTGCGCTTGACCGTACCTTTATCAGTACGGACAAACGGCTTGTCGGGCTGAGCAAAAGCAACATAGTCTCGCGATAATTTCACGGTAAGCCGCGACGATGACATAGACGTCACAATATGAGACCAGATACTCTCTGTCATCTCTTCGTCCTTTGAAAGAGGGTCTTTCAGCTCTATGAGGAGTCCGGCCTGAGCCTTGTTGCTGCCCACAACCAGACATCCATTGATTGCAGGATGCGTGCCAATGAGAGCCTCGATTTCAAGGGGCAAAATCTTGTATCCATTGGACAAAATAATCAGATCGTCGTTACGACCATTGAAAGCCCAAAGGTTTGGCTTCTCAGGATGCTGCCGGTACAAGTCCTTGAAGTTGACAAAGGACTTGTCAGGGAATGTGTGAAAGATACCTTGGAACAATGATGCATGCTCATTGCGGTATACCCAGTGCTCAAAGACTCCTGGCTCTACTTCCTTGAACTCGAACCCAGAGTAAGGGTGGAAAGCAAACCAAGACCAGTCTTCTCTGTCTACTACAAGGTTGCCAATGAATAATCCCTCCGTTGTTCCAGTTAGATTAAGCACTCTGATGACGTTGTTGACCTTTCCAGCACTTGAGAGAGTGACTGGACCTCCAGATGCGCAAATAAACTTGGAAGGTGATGATTGGAACTTGGCCAAAACATCTGGTGTCTCTCCGAGCTCGTCGACAAGCGAAGGGACCATGCTCCATATGTTGATTCTTGAGGATTCAACAAGCTTCTCAATCAGTGAGATATTTGGGATGACGCCAGACGGCCCAAGCACGCAGTGAAGGCTAAAAAGGGCGGGCATCAGAATGTCCATGATGATTCCTGCGCCATGACACATGGGGAAAGATGAGTATATCGAGTCGCCTTCCTTCCAGTCAGCAGTCCAAGGAACCATGCCATCGACCGGGGGGAGCAAACGGACTGCATCCATCGTTCCAATGAGTGCGTGAGTCCAAGGAATGGGCTTCGGAACTCCTGTGGAACCCGACGTGTGGAGATAACAGAAAGGCTCAGTAGAAGCCTCATCGAAATTCTTTGTGTATGGAAATGGCTTGGTACCCTTTGCGTCCAAGAGTTGATCAAGTAGTGGAATCTCGAGCAACTTCATCCGACGTTTCTGTAGAACATCTTCGACAAGAGGCACCATTGCCACTTCACTTGCTTTAGCCCAGATTTGGCACTGAGTTGCTTCTAGCACGGCCAATGCTCCTTCAGTACTGTTCTGAGGAGAAAGGTAAAGGGCAGCATAGCCGACCTTGACGCAGGCGTAAGTGATCAGAATGTGACGTAGATCATGCGGGCCAATGTAGCCAATGGGCTGGACCGATGCTGACTGCCCAACCTGTTCTTGGAGCCACCAAGCTGTCTTGTCAACAGCTTCCACAAAGGCTTTGGCAGATATGTCTTTGAACTCTAGGGATTCGTTTGAAGCGTTTGCAATAGAGAAGACAACGCGTCCAGGGTCCACTGCTGCTAGTTGGTCCATGATTTGAGGAATAAGTCTTCGCCCGTATGGTATTTCATCAGCATCGTTGAATGAAAGAGCCTGAGTAGGTTTGGCGTTATCGCTAGGTTCAACCCAGGAAATGAGCGGTGAATGGCTATGGGATGTAGGCGGAGTCGAGAAGCCACTACGCAACGACATCGCACTTGGCGAAGAATACCCGCTCTTAGTGCTGTCGAAAATTTTCGGAGCCTGGAGGTAGCTTGCAGTTGTCTCGTTAATCTCGGGAAAGTCTGTCGTTTGCGACTGCTCTTTGAAGTAGCTGGGCCGGCCGTTCTCGTAGACTAGCTCGAGACGTGGATCCTGCTGGAACTCACCCATGGGAGCGCTAACCCACTCTCCATCGGCCAGCTGAGCTACGGTGCAATGCCATGGAGTAGTGTAACCAGTCCTTGTGTTTAAGAGGCTGATTGACAGTTTGTGCTCTCCAATCGATTCGTGTATCGACAGTCTGACGTGGTTTGGGAACGCTTTCTTCACTGCTCCAGCAAACGCCTAGAGTCATTGTTAGCATTGCAACCCAGAAACCTTCTCAAATGCGAAACTAAGATACTTACATAGCCCCTCATGAGCATCTCCTTTGCGAGATACTTGACGTCTCTCTTGTATTGATTGCGGCCACGATTCTCTCCAGTGTTGAATATGTGTTTCAGATCTGACTCCAGAAATTTGCGGTAGCCGAGGTATGTCAGTTTCGTATCTGGATTGGCTGTGATCTCCTTGTCAATGTCGATATCCGGCCTTCCAAACTCATTCAAGAGTAACCGTCTGAAGTTTGTGCAGTTGGCAACATATGTGATTTCTCGCATCTTTTCTGGCAGTGGAAATTCGAGTAAGTCTCGTAATCGGGAGAAAGCAATAGAAGTGAATTTCTTCTCAATAGCCATCTCTCGTAGAGCTTCTCCGTAAGCCCAGGTATCGCGATCTGATATCGACAGTAGGTCTAGAATCTACATCAGCAGGCTTCCTATGTACTATTGAGAGATTTGTTACCATTGTATGTGATGCCGTCTGAGATGATTGTCACTCTCGCTCCAGGCTTGTAGATTTGCTTGATTCTTGTACACATTCTGTGCAGCCTCTCGAGAGCCAACTCTTCAGCTTTGTCTGGCAGAGAGCCAAGCACTTTGTAGACTTTGTTGGCTGACTTGAAAGGAAACGCTGGCAAACATGCTTCGACACGCTGACCTGCTTGAACAAAAGTGTCAATCCTCGACAAAAGATGTTCCCTCCCAGCAGCCAATCGCTCTCTGGAGTCATTGAACTTGTTGAGCGCATGCTCGTGCATGATCTCAAGGATGTCATTAGATATGTTGTTCATTGGGCTTGGAGTGATGGTGACGGTTGGTTCCTCTTGTTGAAGTGACAGGCCGAGTCCGACTGAACTGTCATGGCGTGTATATGGTGGAGGCATTTGGCTTCGCACTGAATCGATGGAGGGACTGTCAGATGTTCTGTACATGATTATGAATAGATGAGTTGATTCCCAAAACAGAGGGGTGATTGGAGTATGTGCCCAGACTTCTGGCGTGGTCTTGGGACGCTTTAAACAGTTGAGTAGCTGGAAGCTGGTGGTGGAGAAAGAGATGCAAGGATCACATGAGTCTCTAAATGGGGTAACAACTAGTGGCCCTTGTCAGAGCATGTGGATTTGTGTTCATACTTGGAACACAGAGCTCAGCGCAGGCAGAGCTGACAGTCAGTTCCCCGGTAGGCGTAATTGTAGTGGCTAGGCATGTTGGTGGCCCTGTGTCTGGATGAGGCAGCAGACAATGGGAATGGGGCTCTGCTATGCGTAGCGGCATGACCTGACATGTCTATCTGACACAGGAGGGGGGTACAGCAACAGCTGCGGTGTGCTCAGGGCATCATGGTGCTGGATCAGTTTGCATTCACCTGCTCGTTAGCCAAGCCGCGAGCTCAGGAATGAGAAGGTTAGCAAGCGAAAGCGTTGATGCGCCCAGTGACAGGGAGGGGCGGAGTGGTGTGGTGGTGTGCCGGCTGGGTGGGATGGCAGGGGCCCTAGTCCTGACTAGTGCATGGCGGTGATGGACACGTCGCAGTGACTTGCAACCAAACTCTGATCATAGAGGAAGCTTACTGCATCCCAGCCACAAACATGTAACTCTAACTTGTAACAAAACACCAACACCGGGGATGCGCTTGTTGCATGCGCGCGGCTGCAGTCTGACAGCTCACCCATGTTCAGATGGCGAAAGCCAAGCGCAGCAAGATGATCGCGAAGCCACCAAACACACCAACGCTTCGCAGCGTTGTACTACATCCAGGCTATACACATCTGCTTAGTAAGGGCGGCGTGCTTCTTTGCTCAGTTTGAGTGGTTCAGTAGGTATGGCGTCGCTTATTTTTTCCATACTTGCCTGACGCTAATTGCTGGGGCAGATGTTCAACGCTTCTAATAAAAAACATCAACCACAAAGACTGACGACTTAAGCGGCTACTGCCGGCCTGTCAGACACCATAGGGGCTTGGTCATGGCTTGCCTAGTTTGAGCTGAATGTGAGTAGCTCTTCCCTCCAGTACGCTAAATCTCTTCAGGCATACGCATGCAACTCATGGACCCAACATCACAAATGCTACGTGCCTGCGCCCTTTATCATGTAACAGACCCAATTGTGGACAGTGGTTCTACAGGTAGTATCAGTAGTGACGAAACCAGAGACCACTCGAGGTTGGCTAATGTAGTTTCCAACAGCCGGTTATGTGTTCCACAGCCCTTGCATGTGACCCGGAAGTTCATTCAGTCTCCGGCCTGATACTTAGTAGTACAATGACGACTAATAAGGCAGCCAGAACTTTACGTTGTACAGAACACGCCACAAAGCCAACACCTTGTTTTCCAAGGCGTATGTAAGCATTCAGTACTGGAACCGGTTCGCATTGGCCTACATCTTGGTCCAACTCAGCCGCAGCCGCAAAACTCCACTCGGCTCTCGCACGGGCCCATATCGAACGGGAAGTGCGCCAGTAGAATCCAGCAGGCAAAACTTGCTCACGTTGAAATGTGCTCACGGCAGATGGTTGAGTTGATTCGCTTGGCGAAGGATTGTGCAATCTTGCTCGTAACTTTTCGACCTTCTAAATGCAGCAGCTACTAGTTCCATCATACGTACAAGGCCAAGGGGCTCAGGTCAGCGCGGATCGACACATTTTCCCCCACGCCTCCATTGACTGTAAGATCGCTTGTGTGTGGCGTTTGGGCGCCATGCGCAGCGGCGGACTTGCTTCTCTGACCGGCACAGCGGGCGGGCCGTTGCAAGGGGCTTCGGGACCATGTCTTTCTGCTGTAAGGCTGACGCATGTCCAGCCCCCGGGTCGCGGGTCCATTCATCTAATCCACGTGTAGTCGAGATCCCTAGCCCGAGCGTTATATGCGCAAATACAACCGTCTGCATAGGTCGGAGAGGCACTGCACATACATGTACGTGTCCAAGCGCACATCTACCTGTGGCTCACTAGCACTTCGTTATCGCCATGAGCTCGCAGCCACCACCCTATCCCTATCCCTATTCGCAGGCTGGCCGGCTGGACCCACGCATCACACTGCCCCGGCCAGCCATCGATGTCGCATTGGCGCCTATTGTCGACTCGGTGCTGCTGCCGGAAGAGCTGGACGTCACCTTTATGCGGAGTTTCGACCTGAGCGTGACCCTTGACATGATACTCGAGTCCCATCCATATCTGACGCATGCACAACATGCAGTTCCAGGCTCAGAGGGCCATACTATTCCTCTATCTGTCTTCACGCCTGCGGCAGCACGGGGCCCTCTGCCAGTCTTGTTCTTTGTGCATGGAGGAGGAATGATCTCAGGTGACCGCTTCAGCACCATTCCTTCACTTGTCGACCTGGTGCAAGATGTGCCGTGTGCCATTGCGTCAGTCGAATATCGCCTAGCCCCAGAAACTCCTGCTCCTGGTGGCGCTGAGGACTGCTACGATAGTATCGTATGGATGTCGACGCATGCTGCAGACCTGGGGATTGACGCCGCTCAAATCATTGTTTGCGGCTCATCAGGCGGTGCCCCTCTTGCCGCAGCTGCCTGCTTGATGGCACGCGACAGATCAAATCCTTCCATCCCTATCAAAGCCCAGATGCTTCTTTCGCCTATGTTGGACGACAGGTGTAACAGTGTCTCGGACCGTCAGTTTGAATACGGTGTGCCGTGGAACGGTCTTACCAATCGTGCCGCCTGGAACCATGCCTTGGCCGGTCAGCGCGACACGGAACATGTTTCCCATTATCAATCACCATCCCGGGCCACTGACCTGTCCAATCTGCCCCAAGCATACATTGATGCTGCAGAGTGCGAGGTCTTCCGCGATCCTGCTGTCATGTACGCCATGACTATGTGGCGTTCTGGTTCTTCGTGTGAACTGCACGTCTGGCCGGGAGGCATCCACCTATTTGATGCCATTGACAACCCTGAAGTACCTGTGGCTGGTGCAGCAATTGCTGCTAAGCGCGCCTGGCTCAAGAGAATGATGAGAAGTACAAGGGCTGACAAGGACATCGCATAATGGGTAACATCTCCCGGTCTTCTGTCACATGCCAGTCCACGCTAAGGTGACGCGTTGCCAGACTGTTCGTGTTTCAGAACAAGCACACTTAATGGTGGCATTACCTAGACTTAGACGGCTTCCCTCAGCCTCACTGTATAGATAGTATAGTCTACGAGAAATCAACCATTCTATTATTTTACAGCTCTCAACACCAACAAGCTTGGCAATAATGTTGCATAGGCATTCATCTTTTGGTTACGGGCCAAAATCTTCCACGTAAAATACTAGTCAAGCCTACTAGACATTGACATATCAACGCTCAGTATTCCTAGTTGAGCAAAGATCGGCGTTAGCAGGGGCTAGTATCAGCCCCACTGCAACATCCCGGTCAAGCGACTGAGCTACATCGGGGATTAGCAAACACGGAGTTGTAGTTTTGGCTGATTTAAGTTTGGATTACACGGCTGGTCTATCCTTTCCCTGCAATCCTTTGGCTGCCCCAGTTAAGTGAGCATTTTTGCGCCTTTTCGTCAGCTTACCTGCAGAGAAGCGGATACACACAGCTATTACATTGGGAATTAACAGGAAGGAAAATGCACAACTCATGCGCCACGCCTTGGTTTTTTTTAGCATTTCCCAATTGCCACTCAGCAGGGTCATCTTGACCAAGGAGGCGGTGTTGGTAACGGATGCACTACAGAGTGTGGGATTGAACGAGTGTCCCGCCTGACATTAGTGCTAGACTGTACTCCGAAGGATCTCACACTTACACAAAGGACATAATAACAGCCCCGCGAAACAATGTGTGGGAATCTCATTACTCAGCCTTGTCATCTAATACAAGTGCAAGTTGATATATCTATAAGGCGGGCAAACTGACATTGTTTACATAAAGTCCCAAGAACTTGGACATCAACCTCTACTTCTAGCCTTGTAGTAAACAAGTGAACAGCAAATCAAATATGGGAGACATTGAACAGCCCCTCAAACTACGTTCGCTGGGTTGGTAGTCACACATCACATGTCAACATAAAGTTGTAACTGAACAAAAACAGGGCGATCTGAACAGCTTTCCGCAGTCTCTCACGCCCTAGGTTTTTTCAACAATGTGGGCTTATCTGCACACTACGGAGTATCCGAACCTGCTGCTCAGTACGATCTACAACGCGTCATTTACGCTGCATTGGAATATGTGATACAAGAACATGCCATCTTGTCAGCCATTCCTGTCGACGAAGACTCTCCAGATGCGTACTGGGTCCAGCTACCAACAATTGATCTCACACGCTCTGTTACTTTCTTGACTCGAGAACGGCCATTGGAAGAGATCGGAGAGGACTCTGAACTCGACGAGATACTTCAAGAGCAACACAACATAGACTTCAAGTCCGATTACGGCAAACTGCCTTTCTGGCGCCTGGTCATTCTTCGAGATGCAGAGAATGAGCTCAACTTCACTGCCTCATTCATCTTCTACCACAGCATCGGCGATGGCGCAGCTGGTCTATTTTTCCACAAATCCTTCAGCGAAGCACTAAACGCAGCTTCCTCATCAAGCGAGTCTTTGTCAAACATCATCACACTCGTCCACTCCTCACCCAACGCTCAACTCCTCCCAACCCTCGAACAACTCCATCCACTCCCCCTCAATCCAAACCCAGTCGACCACCGCACCCCAGGCCTCCAAGAATGGACCGGCAATTCCATCCGTCTCCCCTGCCAGACCCACTACCGCACACTCTACCTCTCACCCACCTCCTCCACCTCCTTCGCCCGAAAATGCAAGTCCAGCAACCTATCCGTAACAGCCGGTCTCCAAGCCACCCTCGCCCACGCGCTCTTTGACGCCCTCCCACCAACCACAGAAGCCCTAACAGGCATCATACCCATCAACCTCCGCCCCTGGCTCAACCTCCCATCAGGAGACTCCACCAACGCAATCGGCAGCTTCATCGACGCTATCAAAGTTCAAATACCGCGTTCACACTTTGCCTCCGAGTCGGAAGACGCAGTGCTTGGACTGCCTGCTGCACGCCACACAGCAGACGCCATATCCAAGTATCTAACCGGCAACCCCTCGCCATCAGGTGAACCCTACACTTCCGTCGCGTTCTTCGGCGCAATTCCCGATGTCGCTGCTGTCTTCAAAAGTATGATTGGTGGACCTCGGGATGCCGCGTTTGAGATTTCAAACATTGGCAGGTTCATGCGTGGTGCTGGGAATGAAGAGGCGAAGTGGCGCGTGGGTAGGATGGCGTTTAGTCGCAGTGCAGTGGCTTTTGGGGCGCCGCTAAATACAAGTGTTGTGTCTGGTGCGGATGGGGGGTTAACGATTGGGTTTTGCTGGCAGGAAGGGGTGCTGGAGGATAGGTTTGTAGACGGAGTTGTCAAGGGGTTTGGGGGGTATTTTGAGTCTGAGGGGTTTTAGGGTGAAAGGTGCTGGGCTTGAATAACTGTGTGGGGTTACGCGATTTGGTATATTTGAGGATATTGGAGAGTGTTTGTCGAAATCTGCCCACAGAATCTCGGTTCTAAACGTCATAAGAAGGAAGGAATATAATGAACAGAGTGATACATAGAAATAAGTAGAGACGACGCTATCTTGATGACTAAAATTGTGAATATCTCAATCCCCTCCTCAACATATTAAGACCATATTCAGAAGCTTTCTTTTATAATCACTAGAAGAGATTTGACCTATTCCCTCTCATCTCTCAACTAACATGCCAGTCCATATAGTCCCTCGCACCCCCAGACTACCCTTCTGACACCTCATCCCAATTACAAGAGCTAACCACCAATTTATCCATTTACTACCAGCCCAACCACCGATTAATAGATAATTTAAGGCTCTTCTCATACCTAAGTCTCCTATCCCTGTCTTTTCGTATCTAAAGTACGCTGCAGCCAGTCCTTCCATAGCTGATACCGTCATCCCGCAGATTGTACACCCGTATCCTTCAAGTCTTCAAAAAGGCCCAGTACTTAAAAGAATTCCTCGTGGTATCTTTTAATACGAAGCTGCTGCGGCTCCTGAATCGAAAATTTTGGATGTGGAATTTTGAGATTGAAACTAGGAAAAATGTATGTTCAGCGTGTAGAGGCGGGGCAACTTGTGCGCAAAATATTATGAAGGGGTCGGGAGCGAGGGGATGATATTGGAAGGTCCACCAAGGGTAGAAAGGTGATTGAAGATGTAAGATGTTTGTGTGAGAAAGAGGTCTCGGGCTGTAAGGGCACTTGGAGTAGGCAGTGCTAGAGTATGGTGAAGGAGGAGGAGGATATGGTGGCGGTTCAAACGTATCTAGACTATATGTAATCACATCATCATATCATGAATTTAAGCAGACGTTTAAAGAGCATGATATTCAAAACACCAACTTCAAGTTTCCTAGAATAGGTGTAATTTTAGCTAAATATATACAAATCTCTTATACAATATCGTTTGCGACTACTCTTAAAGCGTGCATCTAGCGCGCTATCGCGCAGTAGAGGGAAATAG